ACTTATGAATTTGAGCGCTTTATCGCTATTTTGAAGAAAGTTATGAATTTCCGGTCAAACACACACACACCAACAGACAAACGTAGCGGTGATATTACAGCTCAGGATGATGTGTGGACTATAGGAAATCACTGCCCCTCTGAACAGCACAGAAAGAACCATGATGCAAGCTCTACATCGTGCTCTTATGCGCGGCACCCGGACGATTGTCATGCTACCCTCTGCGCACCTGAAGGGATTGCGTCACTGACTTCTTCATCAGAATCCTTCGTTTCCCCCAAAAAAACAGGCTATGGGATCGGGCCACTAACCAGATTACTTTGCAGGTCTAGATCGCGCTTTCGTGAGAAGCACAGGATGATCACATGTTACGAACTTTTTCCGCTCTAGCACTATCACTGAAGTTAGTTCAGATGAACAAACTCTCCGGAAGGATTTCAGCTCGAAGCTCCGGGTTCTTCTTTTTCGGTTGGACAAAGAGCCTGTCGAAGAACGAGTCAGTTATCATTTTCTCCTTAAGGCAGGTGGCGCGATAAATCAACAAGGAGTACAGGGTTAATACGCCTAGTAAGAATAGAGAAGGGTAAAGTGTCCTTCAGCAGGAGTTGCGTGCCGCTTTTTTCAACCAAAGACACTGTTTTGGTGCCTAACCAAGGGGCAACAAGCCGACCCAGACGCCCACTGCGATCGCCCGCCCACAAATGGTCGGACCGTCATATCGACGTGGTGGCGCTCTTATCGCTTCACAGTGCCAAGGGGAAACTTGTTCAGAAAGGCTCGTCCAATGCCGTGCAGAACATTTTTTTTCGCAGCATTTCGTCCGTTTACCTCCGCTTCTTCGTCATTTTCCCACCATGTTGCATCCCTGCTGCTACTTTTGAACAAGTACCAAATTATCAGGGAGACAAATCCTTTATGCCTTCAAGTGTTGAATCAGACTCATTGAAGCTACCTTTCTATTGGCTTCGCAAACGGCGCCTCATTGATTTCATCCACTGCGAGAACCATTCCATATAAAAAACTTGCCCACCATAGTGGATTGATCGTTTTCATCAGCACTGTCTGTGAAATGGCACTTGCATTTTCGAACGCGTACGTAGCACTGATACAATTGAGAGAGTGAATTAAACAATGCTGGCGGATTATAGGAGCCACTTGCATGCCCAATCTCACTACGTTAGTTTACTGTAAAATTCTTTCAGTTGGATAGGATGTGAGGCCCCAAGATGTTCAACCAAGGATCCAACTGTTCAACTATAAATATTCCTCAAAAAGAGTGCAACGAAGTGTTATCGAACGGAGTTCGAACGCTAAAGTTAATATTTTCCGGATTGAGATCGAGTAAGAAAAGTTCGTTACGTGAAAAGTGCAAAAGAACACTCATTCTCCTTTATACTTATGCAGCAAGGATTTTTGCGAAAATTACAGCACGATAGGTGATCTGATGTCCATAATAACGCTGATATAAGTGTTTCGTTTGCGTGTTGATCTGTCTGCATGTCAGGCAAGTGCAGCTTATGAAACCTCTGCAAAAACACTTAAGGAGGAAACACGCAAACGCTTACTACAAGAGAAGGACTTCAAGAGGAACCAGTGAAGGCTACCAACGAGAACACACTGAGATATCTGGGAGTGCCCCTTTTCATGGGAATGTGTAAGGTGTGACAATTTTCTGCACTTTTTCCGAAGTCAACGGTCATGGCAACCAAGGAAGATTACTTTCCAATGGCTGATTTCATCGAAGTTTTTGAGGCTCACATGACGACTGCGATGACCACTCCTGCATGTACCCTCGATGTCGATTTAGCGAGAAAACCCTATATTGCTATCTCTGCGCTCCCGTATGCTTCAAGCGAGTTGCTCGGACAGTGGCGCAATAACGAGTCTTTGCAATACTGCACAACGTAGCCAGAAGCAGATTTGGCGTCTCACAGGGGAAACACTGGGAAATATTATGGATATGAACTTCACTTTTTCAATCGGATTTCCTTTTGAGATAGTGACTAACTTGGTAGTGCTTCCCCACGTCCCTCCTGGGCTGAACACTATCTCTCTTTTTTTGTAGTGCCAGCAGCGCTCGTATGCATCGTAATTTATCAGTTTTTTCTCTGATATAACAAAAAGTGTCCGGATACACGCCGAAGTCTACCAATGGCCAATAATTAGTGTTAAAGGCGGACAACAAAAAACGTTTGTATGACGTGTGCTATTTAAATGCAGACAAGGCTGCGCTCTTTTGCTTCCAACAGAGCTCAACGGAGGATTTGAGAACATTCTACATATGTCTAGTCAGGTAGCTGTCACGGTGCGCGCTGTGTAAGCAAGGTGAGATTAGCGGAGACATCGAATGCACTTGCTCTGGTCCTTCAGGCACCCTTTATAGTCTACGACCCTGCGTAACCGACGAAAGTGGTCAGGTCCCAAAGTGTTGTCCTTATTTCGTCAACCTTACCTTCACTGATGAGGTCCAGGTGTTGACGAAATTACGATGGTTTATGAGGCCAGGGACAAAACATGCTCTTTCGTAGTAAATGTTCCACTCATTCATATTTCTTTTCCTAATTGTAGGGCGACGGCGAACAGGGGAAGGGGGTTCACGAAGAACAGCAAAATGAAACGGAAGTTAGATTAATAAAGTGGTTTAACACCTTGGTTGTGGCTACAATTGAGACAGGATGTATTGCTACCCTCTAATAACTACGAAGAAAGCTTCCTGAGAAAGAAAGAAATGTCAAGCTCTCTTCGGAAAGAGATTTGGAATCCAGCACTGTGCAGTATGGCCCGTTGATTGCCAATGTTCAACTTGCTGCGTACGTGGGAAAGCATGGTGTGCTTTCATGCGTGGAAACTGAATATTCTGTGCTAATCGCTTGTTCGAGCTACATTCGCTCGGGCGATATTCGAGTGAGACCGAATGAACTTTAATGCTTTGGATTTGAAATAAAGTGGTTGAGCGAATTGTTTCGATTTGTCTTGTGAGGTGGTGGTGGTGAATACGTTCAGCTGCCAGGAACTTTCACGATCTGCTTGCAACAAAATATCGTCTTGTTTATACAGTGCACGAATCTCCCGCTTTTCAACTTTAAGCTATGATCGCCGAGAAGCTGAGAGAACTATGCCCAATAGCAGATAACATGGACTGTGAGGGCTCCCTTTGTCAAAAAAAATTATACGCTTAATTTGGAATCAAATCGCAATTTCTTCTACCAAAGAATTCTCAATGGAGAAAGCCACCTGCACATTTTGAATCTGGTTGATAATTCCATGAAGCACTGTTCACCATCAGTACATTGTAATAATTCCCTCACTCACAGTTTCGTCGAGTCAGAGTTTCGTGGAAGGCATACACTTTGATCAGCCGGATTGTTAGGAGTGGAACGCCACGCCGCTTCATTCTGTCACAAATTATGTCTTAACGAAGTTATGGCCTTGAAAGGTGAAGAACTCGCGTTCGCCAAAAATTCTTCCCTGTAATTTTGTGAGTTTTTTGTGAGTTACGGGGAAATTTCGCAGTGACTGAGCTACAGCAATGCTGTTGTGCTCATGCAAAAGAGAAAATCCTGTAGTTCCCAATGGCCTGTAGACTCCGTTCTATGTGACGTATGAGAGAAGTTTTTTTTTTCCTATTGAAAGGTGAAGGAACTCGCGTTTGCCCCAAATTCTCCGCGCTATTTTTTTGGCCAGAACCGTCATGCAAGCTAGATGAAAACTGCACTACATTTCGTTTAGGGCCTAGTCATACAACCTGAACTAACTTCACCGCTCTGCGAGAGATGGTTCCTGAATGAAGTTATACCCTTTTAAAAATACTACGTGAGTGCAGCAGGCCGATAGAGCTCCAATCTCGATGCGCGACGCTGCGGCAGTGCGCTAAATGTCTTGCCTTTGTGTTTATTTCGTTTAGACAGCATCACTTCAAGGTTTCTCTGAGACTTTGTGCATTATACTGCCTCCTAGAAACTATAAAATTCGCATAACACACAATATATACAGCTTCATCCTTGTGACCGCAGCAGATACCCCCACATACTCCACGTTCACTAAAGGAGACAGGTCGTACATACGGTCACCCCTTTCTAGGGGGTCGTACTAACCTCCTAATTTTTGCGCGACGTAATGCTTGACCCTGGTATCCTGGCCATTGCCCTTCTGACTGTCCCATTTGTCTCGCGGAGCTTCCAGCTTTGTTACTCATTGTTTGTTCAAGTTTTTTCTTGTGTTTTTCATTTCTTGGCACGGTTTCTCACTGATAGACTGCCAATATTGAGCACTACATTCCTGGCCTACTCTAAAAAGGCAACCTCTTACTTGAGTGCCCAGATGCCACAGTGAATTCTGCCATAGCAGTGCAGCGAGCTCCAGCTGGGCTAAGGAGAGAGTCCGCTACAAACAGTAGGGTCCTTGCAGTCATCATGACGTTGGTCCCGCTTCAGTTTCATCGCTCAATAACAACACAATAGCATTAATGGAATCGTCAAAAGTTCAACTGAGTATAACAAAAGCCCACGTTGGAAACCTAGCTTGGTGGGCTCCATGAAAAAGTTCAATTTCTAGTGGACACAATGGATCCCGAAAAAAGTGATTGTTCTTCTTGGTATTTTGTTTTTCGATTATTATTTCATTTTGTTCAATTACCCCACTGCTCCGAACGGTTAGCGCAGCAGCTGACAAATTATTGACGATTATTTTTCTGGCTACGAGGCTGAAGGCTGGAGCTTTGTTATCAGTCCTAAGTGCAGCCTTGAACTGCGGGAGGTCTTTGTCTTCCCCATTTCCCACTGAGGAAGTGAAAAGGCACCAGATTCAGTTCCTAGATCAAAACCGATCCAAAACTGAGAGAGAAATTTCAGTGATTTTTGAACCGCTACTATAAAACATGGGTCTTTATATGCGCCTCACACGAAACGCGGAATCAATATGTGGGGAAAGTACATTTCAATAATATGAAACACACATATATAAATGCTTGGGCAGATTTCAATAATCATGTAATTCAAAACATGTTGGTGCCTATTGCTGCGCTTTACGTGGTAAGTCCAACTCTTACGCTTCTGAATGATTCTGGCTAATTTTTTTTCGAAACTAGTAAGGTATGTGACAATCACAAGGTACTGACCACTGCATTTTAAGGTACTGCTGAGCCCGCTTGCCGAAGCAGGTACGTAAGTTGCACGTCAGGTGAAGTTCTATATAGAACCTTATTCACAGGGTACAGCATCGTGATGTCTGAAATGACGGTGTCATTACGACCAACCTCCATCCAAACCCCCGTTTTCTCATCTTGTTACTATCTCGCTCCCCTCATCGACCAGATACGACCCCTTGATGGTATTCTTCCATCGATGCAGTACGCTGTTAGGGCATCTATGCCATCTGCCACAGCAGGAGCCAAACTATGGCGCACCCTCCATTCTTATTTACTGCAACTCCTTTCGGAAAAACTATAATACTCACTCATCCTTTAGGTTATGGCTGTCCAAGCAGTCTGTCTCAGACCGACGCGAGAAGAAAAGTGTTCCTCGATTACCATAATGAAGTTCGTCGGAATATATCACTTGGAAAACAGCCAAATAAAAAAGGATTTCTCGGACCGGCTAAGAACATGTACGAGTTGGTAAGTGATTGAGTAAAGAAGTTTGGCGGAACAAGCAGTGTCAGATCACAAAACTAAGCCCGAACCTACAAATGCGCTGTCACCCAAACTCTGATCAGTATACTAATGTAATTCGAAAAAGCATTTCGTAGCATGCCTAACCTGCAGTACAGCCCAATTCAACTCGCAGTTCCCCTCGCCATTGATTTCACTGACTTAACTGCGAGCACTGGTCATGAGCCTTTTGTTAACCTAAATGAGAGAGTTTAAGGGCAGTTTTCAGAGCTGGAGCTGTGATTTAGAAAAAAAGGCACAGGATGTGGTATCGAAATGCGACTTTTCGTTTATTCGCGAGTTTGCTCAAAATATTATCAAGTGGGTTGTGTAATTTGTTCACATACTGCTTTATTCAAGAACAGTAACGATGGAATAGCCTCTCATGCTTTATAGAGTCATCATGTCAGGTCACTTCCTACTGAACTTTTGTAGTGCTCCGCGAGGTGTTAAGGCAGAACACTTCACACCTAATCTATATCGGCTTGGTGGTCATTTAGAGAGGCCAGGCTCTCCTGTGAATGTGCTCCATTCACCTTCACATATTCACCATATCGAAAGGATGGAGGGACGTCCAGCGTTATGCATTCCGATTCTACCCTCTTATAGATACGTCTCTGCCGGCCTTCGTCAGAGCCCTCACAACCATTGTGTGCTACGCCTCTTGGTACCCTCGATATGGACTCTATCTCAGCCAGCAGAGAACTATAATAGTTTCAAACTAGTGGTTGCGTGCATACAGTGGAACCCAGGCATCACCACAAAGCATAGTGAAGGGGCCAGTAATCTAGAGCCTAAGGCTCTCTCACCCTTGGCCGTGAATAACTGTACCACATAACCATAAGAACTTGTAAACGTCCAGTAACAGAAGAGTAATAAAATGAAAGTATAAATTATCAGGATCACGTTCAACAACTATGGAGAAGATGCACTTCTGAAATACGCCCAGAGCGTTTGGGTGAGCCGTGTGACGCAACTTGGAGTCGATTCTAAAACCAACCAATTGAACTACCAGACCGAAGCATTTGCTAACGTAAGTGTTCCGACTAGATCACAAACTGAGAGCAAGAAAACACTTTGGATGTTTTCAGATGGCTAACTCGAAAACTCTGCAGTTTGGCTGTGCTTACAAAATCTGCGGTTCTTCAACCATGTTTCTGACCTGTGTTTACGACAGCCCGTGAGCGAATTCCTTGTTTTCACAGAAACAACTAAGGTTATTTTCAACAGATCCGAAGAGCTTGTAGCCGGACTTCCCTCCAACTCACATACCCTCTGTTTCCATTAGCTGGAGAACGCTCGCTATCGGACACGCTGTTGCGGCGGGTGGCAGAGGCAGAAACGAGAAAGCATCTGAAAAACGCGGAAGTGGCCTAATGTCACGTAGCACTGCTCATCCGTTGGCAGTTGGGGTTCATATCGGCTGCCGCCCGAGCCAATCAAGCCTTCCATCCTTCTGAGCTGCTTGGAATTGCACATGGAATTCTCAGCAAGTCTTTAAGCCGCATTTAAAAGCCATTACAAATGTAAATGCAAGTGAAAGTCGTTTTGCGTCCAGGAAGGGGGGGGGGTCAACACCGAGAGATTTAGCCTTGTATAATGGACAAGGTCTAACTATAGAATCTAAGTCTATAGTCACAGATACCGCTTGAAAACAAAATTCAGGCTCAGTGTGAGTAGGACAAGCTCGCACTCCATTGAAAGGCTTCTCGCTTTACCAAAACTTGTTGGTAAAGCGTAATATTACTCAGCTTAATGACAACAATTCAACCCCATGTTTCCTATTTCAGGAGGCTGTCACCGGGGTTCGTGCTTTGGGAGAACGGAAAGACCTGTGAGTGCAAGGCATATCCCGGCTCGTCTTGCTCGAACAGCCTTTGTGTCACTCGCGCCACAGCGAAACCCTCGAAACCAGTGCAACCTTCCAAACCAGTGCAACCCTCGAAACCTGTGCAACCATCGAGACCACGGCCAGTCGTGAAACCCGTTACTACTACCACGACAAAGAAACCAGCAGTTGTGAAACCAGGTCCGTAGGTATCAGCGCTTCTCATTGCTATCGGAAGTCAACAGGCTTCAATTCAGGGAAATTTTCATGCTCAA